TCATCTTGTATACTATCTTGAGAGTTTGGATACATAGATTCTGTTTTAATGTATATTTGTTCACCAGACGCCAAGTCAATATAACCCAATCCTCATTCCATCCCAACCCCCTAAAAGCAGAAAATTTAAAGGTAGCAATGGTGTACCGTGAGATATTTTCAGCAGGAAACTGTAAACAGTCTGTTTCATGAAAATATTGATTTACGCCTCTTCTTGATACTGTTAAAAGTAACTGTTGGTCTACTCTATAGATTTACCTGGTGCCGAATAGTTTTCAACATGTATGATACAATTCTCACAAGATTAGCTATAGGGCTATGAATACGTGTTATGATTATTTTACAAGGTCAGTACGTTAATCTTCACAGAAATGTTTCCCGCGAACAGATAGCATCATACTTGTAGCCCATTAAGACGCCCCCTGTTAAGAAAGCTACTACAGAGAACAAAACCAAAATCATAATTCAAACACTCAAAAACGATTAAAAGGGGGGCAATGTTAGCAAGAGAAAGATTTAAGGAGCCGGGCCGCTTGACAATGTTTAAAAATATCAAAACTGTGTGTTCCAAAAGGTTAAGCGTCTTCTACTTCAACGGCCATACCCAACATGTAAATTTAAGGAAGTTATGTCATGTTCTCAAATAAAAAAAATAAATCAATAAATAAAGCTCACGATGACGAAACCACTAGACGATTTAAAGAATATCGAACACAGCCAACTCCATATTACACAAGGAATGAAGTGATTCACTGTGACATCATGATGATGACCACAAAACTTCTCCAGGGTTTTAAAAAGCCTGCATCTCTCCCAACCACGTGTTATAAGTATATTTCACCTGTTGACATCTTTCAGAATCACGATATTGGGAAAGAACGAATAAACTACAACATTTATAATTGTGTAATAATTACACAACATTGTTACTTGTTTTTTTCCGTAAAAACATGTTGCAAACACTTCCTTTCAGTTGAGCTTAAGTAATTTCTTATCTCAATATTTGGGGAAAAAAAATCTAAATCCAACAGCGGCGATACCAGGTAGGCAAACACGTGTGAACTTATCAGCAATAACAAACGTAGACATCATGCCTTCGATCCATCAAAGTAAAAAAGCTAAAAAAAAAAGCGCGGGTAAAGCTATTAGGTTACATTGGTATTTTGGCGATAAGGACCGAGTTATCATCATGGATCATGAAGAAGTCTATGCCTGATTTTGCAGAAACTAATCATCACTTATACTGCAGAAACTGATCATCGCTTATATTGTAGAAACTGATCATCGCTTATATTGTAGAAATATTGCAGAACTAATCATCGCTTATACTGCAGAAACTAATCATCGCTTATATTGTAGAAACTAATCATCGCTTATATTGTAGAAATTGATCATCGTTATATTGTAGAAACTGATCATCGCTTATATTGTAGAAATTGATCATCGTTATATTGTAGAAACTAATCATCGCTTATATTGTAGAAACTGATCATCACTTATATTGTAGAAACCGATCATTGCTTATATTGTAGAAATATTGCAGAACTAATCATCGCTTATATTGTAGAAACTAATCATCGCTTATATTGTAGAAACTGATCATCGCTTATATTGTAGAAATATTGCAGAACTAATCATCGCTTATATTGTAGAAACTAATCATCGCTTATATTGTAGAAACTGATCATCACTTATATTGTAGAAACCGATCATTGCTTATATTGTAGAAATATTGCAGAACTAATCATCGCTTATATTGTAGAAACTAATCATCGCTTATATTGTAGAAACTGATCATCACTTATATTGTAGAAAAACCGCTTATATCATTGCTTATATTGTAGAAATATTGCAGAACTAATCATCGCTTATATTGTAGAAACTGATCATCGCTTATATTGTAGAAACTAATCATCGCTCATATTGCAGAAACTGATCATCGCTTATATTGTAGAAACTAATCATCGCTTATATTGTAGAAATATTGCAGAACTAATCATCGCTTATATTGTAGAAACTAATCATCGCTTATATTGTAGAAACTAATCATCGCTTATATTGTAGAAACTGATCATCGCTTATATTGTAGAAACTAATCATCGCTTATATTGTAGAAACTAATCATCGCTTATATTGTAGAAACTGATCATCGCTTATATTGTAGAAACCGATCATTGCTTATATTGTAGAAATATTGCAGTAGAAACTAAACTAATCATCGCTTATATTGTAGAAACTGATCATCGCTTATATTGTAGAAATATTGCAGAACTAATCATCGCTTATATTGTAGAAACTGATCATCGCTTATATTGTAGAAACTGATCATCACTTATATTGTAGAAACCGATCATTGCTTATATTGTAGAAATATTGCAGAACTAATCATCGCTTATATTGTAGAAACTAATCATCGCTTATATTGTAGAAACTGATCATCACTTATATTGTAGAAACCGATCATTGCTTATATTGTAGAAATATTGCAGAACTAATCATCGCTTATATTGTAGAAACTGATCATCGCTTATATTGTAGAAATATTGCAGAACTAATCATCGCTTATATTGTAGAAACTGATCATCGCTTATATTGTAGAAATTGATCATCGTTATATTGTAGAAATATTGCAGAACTAATCATCGCTTATATTGTAGAAACTGATCATCGCTTATATTGTAGAAATATTGCAGAACTAATCATCGCTTATATTGTAGAAACTGATCATCGCTTATATTGTAGAAATTGATCATCGTTATATTGTAGAAACTGATCATCGCTTATAGAGCAGATATCAAAGCGAAACACGATGCTTATTATCATTATTATATTGTTATACTCTAATTATATGCGTCCAACAAAACAGTTTGTAAAGTGCCTATGTGATTAGCATCTTCCATATTTTAGTTTCTTCCCCATAAAAGCAATTTTCAGAACACCCAAAAGTTTAGCCTAAAACTGTTGAATGTCCAATGATAGCCAGTGGTAAAACTGTGGTATCACTGCCTTTTTAGTCACTATTTTAATCCTGTTGAATCGTTTCTATAGCCTTATAGATAGATGTATGTTAGGCCTCAAGTAACATACGTTGGGACGAAAACAGCTGTGCTATGTGAATTTTTTATCAATTTTGTGACATAAATGTCACTATTTCTATCTCCTGATATTCATGTATTTTATCTTTGTACAATCTACACCCATAAAATGTACATAAACATACAGGTATATACATAATCATTTCAGCATCGTCTCAACAGCTGTAGAGAATACCCGGTGAAGCAAACAGACCGAAGAGAACTAAAAATTACCACGACAAACAGTGCATCGCTTATTGAATTTACCTTTCTTTTATATCACAAGTTAGAAAAGTATATGTGATGTTTCGATGACTGCACTACCGCCATCATAAGACAAATGACCATACTGAAGCATGTTTGCATATAGGTACCGTCTCGCACACCGAGCACCTCGGTTTATTTACTCTTTACATAGGTCATCTTTCATCTCCTTACTGGGTGTAACTAGAAGAAAATATCCCTCCATATATCACAAAGCAATAATATTCCCCTGAGTGGTATTTATGTAATTTAATTTGACATTCTAAAAATAAATTGAAAAAGATGAATGATGATATTTCATCATATACCTAAATATGTACAAGGATTAATTTATTTCATTTAACACAATGGACTTCACGGGAAGTGTTAGTTATATATCATACGGTGATTAACACTATTCCAACCACCGTTTTAAGCATGCTTAGTTGATAGTAAAATATTGTCCATAAAATGAAACACGAGGAAGAGTTTTCCTCGAGAAAGCAATGGGTGACGTTTAAGAGTATAGAAATGTATAGAAATCATTATAGCAACAATGACCATGGCATTTGTCATCCGCATCTGAAAAAAACCAATTCCGGTTAAAAACTTTTGATGAAGCAACAGATTAAGTCTGAAAAAAGGGCCAAATAGAACTCCAGACATTGTGTGGAAATCGACGTGACGGACAGACGACCGAACGAGATGCACATGTGCTCGAGAAAGACGGTGATTACCCGTGAAAATTCTGTATTTCTCTAAGTAAAATACAAAACGCAAAAGCTATCACTCCAATCTACGAAACTGAGTCAAATTCCAATCGAGTTATGTAGACGAAGGTTATAAAACTGTAAAACCCTTTTTTCTGTTATATCAACAATATCATTCATTTCGAGGCCTTATCCAAGTAATGTTCCAAAATAAAAAAAATTGTGACTATAAAGGATTGTACTTCTTGAGATAACGTACATTGATATCTTGTAAGTAAATAGCGAGGTTGTTTACTCCAGAAGAAAAAAAAAACAAAAAACAAAAAAAAGTAAAAAAAAAAAAAAAACAAAAAAAAAAAAAAAAAAAAATACCCCAAAAACCTACAAGCTAAATCGATGATATATACAGGGAATGTAGTAGATATGTCATTGGTTTCCGAATATCTGCTCAGTCTCGCATTAAAGACCAGTGCAGGATGTATATGGACATCAAATACAAAACAGATTAAAGAATAACACAAGGGAGATGTAAATAAAATGAATACATTATTTCTTTAACAATTAAAAATGAAAAATACATATAACCATACAATACGCCAGTACATACACCTTGAACAAATGTCAAAACTTATACTCATTTCTATTACAATAATCACATCTTATTTTACAATTAAGTACCAAATCACAAATCAAATTAGGCTGTTTTCTACCATACACTATACTGTGGGTAAACGTGTAAATGCCGAAGAGATAACAGATGATTAAGGACTACATGTGTGCTTTGTTTGCACTCTTCACGTGTATTGACATTTTCAGATAACAATACTACAACGGTCTAGTTTAACAACTCACCTTCTTCAGTCAGTCGACATATGTATACGTTACCGACCGACACATATCTGGATTTCACACCAATGTTATGAAAAAGTGGCATGATTATGGGAGGCAACGATACAAAATCTCGAAAAGAGTTCAACAGTTATGGATGTTTACTGGTGGGATGTACCTTCACATTGAGATTGATCTCTAACGGGATATCCCAGTCAGTCGGATTAGTCATCCGGGAACTTATAGAGGAGTTCCACGTGGGAAAAAGTGAAGCTAATGGAATAGGATCTTTCAATACCGGCCTGATGTTATTGTCAGGTTAGTATTATATCTTAACGAATCAATATATTCCTTAACCTTTGCCTGATTGGTGCAATGCTATGTATACAATTCACAATAAACATAGTTAAGTGATTTCGAGAGGAGATAACGCAAAAATATAGCTGTTAATCTCCTTTTTTCATTAACGTTAATTTTGTGGGTTTGAACAATAACTTGTACATAAATTATCAGAGTTTAACTCCCTCACTCTCCTTTGATCTTCATACATTGTATAATATATATTGTGATTTGTATTTTGGTAAGAAAAGATGCAGGAATTATCATACATGTTCTGTAACCATGTTAATGGCACATTTTGTTTGTTGAACTTACCGATAATTTATGTGTACTGAGAGATGATAGAAACGCTGCCCTCTTCACTTGAATGTCTTCATCCACTTTCCAGGTCCTTTGGCGGGTTTGGTGGAGCAGAAATTTGGGATCCGCATAACTGTGATGCTGGGTTCTCTGATATCATCTATCGGGCTGGCCTGTTGCATGCTTGTCCCTTCATTCCACGTCTTGTATATCACATACGGAGTTATAACCGGTACGGTCCCCAATCTCATCAGGAGGTAACGTATGTACGGACGTTTGGAGAACATGTCGTTACGGATAGTGGCCTTGTTCAGATAACATACCTGTACTGGATGTTATTGTTTAATAACGAAAATCCAGTTTATTGAATTCTGTAGTTATTCTCCTATCTATAGTAATAGCTTCTGAAGCCAATTTATAATTCCCTAACTTGTCTTCTAGGTATTCATATTCCCTAGCATACTTGACGACTCCTAGAAGGACGAAATAGCTACATAATACAGTTTTCTGAGACTATTTTTTACTCACTTGTGGTCATTTTTTAAATCCATACGCTAAAAGGTTTCAACTGAGTGTGTGGTCAATATCAAAGTGGCGTATTTTTATTTTTTTTTTAATAGAAAAAAAAAGTTATTAAATATTACAGACTATTTAAGACAACATGAGTTTTGAATGATCATTCAATGCTCAAAGATATTACAATTTTCTCAATTGCAATGACCCATTCGATTTAAGTACCAGTGGAATTCCCCACAAAGAAAGAACTACGAGTGTTAATGTAAATATCGGTTACACAAGTATTTTACTGACTAGGACACAGAGAGGATCGTGTTTGAAAGCATTAGCTGACTTATCACTTACGTTTATAAATGTTTTTCGTAGAAGTAACTCTCCTACATTCCGTCATCAAAATGTTACCAAATATGCATACGAAAGTATGCAGGATAATGCGTTGGTTTTGCATGATTACATTTTTTACATATCACCCTTACATATCACCCTTACATATCTCCTTTACATGTCAACCTCGCCCTTACATATCACCCTTACATATTACCCTTACATATCTCCTTTACATGTCAACCTCGCCCTTACATATCACCCTTACATATCACCCTTACATATCTCCTTTACATGTCAACCTCGCCCTTACATATCACCCTTACATATTACCCTTACATATCTCCTTTACATGTCAACCTCGCCCTTACATATCACCCTTACATATCACCCTTACACATCTCCTTTACATGTCAACCTCGCCCTTACATATCACTCTTACATATCTCCTTTACATGTCAACCTCGCCCTTACATATCACCCTTACACATCTCCTTTACATGTCAACCTCGCCCTTACATATCACCCTTACATATCACCCTTACACATCTCCTTTACATGTCAACCTCGCTCTTACATATCACCCTGACACATCTCCTTTACATGTCAACCTCGCCCTTACATATCACCCTTACATATCACCCTTACACATCTCCTTTACATATCACCCTTACACATCTCCTTTACATGTCAACCTCGCCCTCACATATCACCCTTACACATCTCCTTTACATGTCAACCTCGCCCTCACATATCACCCTTACACATCTCCTTTACATGTCAACCTCGCCCTTACATATCACCCTTACATATATCCTTTACATGTCAACCTCGCCCTTACATATCACCCTTACACATCTCCTTTACATGTCAACCTCGCCCTTACATATCACCCTTACACATCTCCTTTACATGTCAACCTCGCCCTCACATATCACCCTTACATATCTCCTTTACATATCAACCTCGCCCTCACATATCACCCTTACATATCTCCTTTACATGTCAACCTCGCCCTCACATATCACCCTTACATATCTCCTTTACATGTCAACCTCGCCCTCACATATCACCCTTACATATCTCCTTTACATGTCAACCTCGCCCTCACATATCACCCTGACTCATCTCCTTTAACATATCATACATGAAATCAAATGTGATATAGGATATACCGAAATTGAAATACATGCATAAATAGACTAAAGGATTTTTGTGTTGTATTGTTTCTAGGTTATTAGCGGGATACTGGGCCAAAAAACAAGTCCATGAGGGAAATGCTAATTTGGGAATAAAAATATTCACATCTCTTTGTAAAAACTTTATTATCAATAGTCTTAACGAAGGTGAAGTAAAACACGACATTGAAGGATAGATGAAGTATGTATGAATTAATGAAAGACACAAAGTACAAACATTTGCTTACCTATCGTAATATAGCTTTAAGTCATAATTCCAGATCATTTCAGTATTATTTGGAAATGATAGAAATCGTGTTGAGCATTAATTGGACGATATTAACATCACGCGGTTAATTGCTTCAAAAGTAGATTTAATGGCACTGAACAATTGTGTTGGAGTTTCCGTTTAGTGATTCGTATTGTCTAAGAGGAGTTTCATGAAACCAAAGGTGGATTTACTGTATTCTAGGGATTTCACTGTTAACCTTGGCCAAAATCAAGGTACTCAGTCCGGAATTTCAAATATCTTAGAGTGATTTCAAATACCTTAAATTTCTTAGCTCCATCCATACAATGGGGTTCGAAGTAAAATAAGGAGGTTCTAAATATTCATAAAAAATCCTAGCCAAGATTTCAAAAAAGAAATAAGAGTAAATTCATGATCTTATTGGTACGATTTCGTGTAAAGGGATTCTGAATAAGCCAAGGGATTCTGAATATCCAGGCGGAATTCTGAATAAGCCAGGGGATTCTGAATAACCAGGCGGAATTCTGAATAAGCCAAGGGATTCTGAATAACCAGGCGGAATTCTGAATAAGCCAGGGGATTCTGAATAACCAGGCGGAATTCTGAATAAGCCAGGGGATTCTGAATAACCAGGCGGAATTCTGAATAAGCCAGGGGATTCTGAATAACCCAGGTAAACAAGCAAGTAAACTAGCAAGATTCCAAATATGCTTTGTTATATCAAGTAGACTAGGAGAATTCAATATAGCCCTTGGGAATTTCAAGTACTCTAGAGGAAATCCAAACAGTCTAGGGAGTCACTAAAGGAACAATCCAGATGGTTACCTCAAAGGAGTCAAGGTGTGCTAATATGGAAAGTATATGTTTTCCCCTTACATTGGGAAATCTTGCAACTTGCAGACCATTATGGAATATTCCATTGGTTAATTAGATTTAATCTGTAATGACGTCATCAACATTGTTTTACATGTGACTTTGTATTGCTATGAACCAGGTTTTGGATTTTCATTGTTGTCCATATCGTCCATGGTGCCGATCAACATGTACTTTCACGAGAGACGAACACTGGCGAACGGCCTGTCAACCATCGGCGGAGGGGTTGGAACCAGCGTCTTTCCATTTGTCATAGCCTGGCTGATGGAGGAGTATGGATGGAGGGGGCTCTATCTTATTCTGTCTGGGTTATCTCTCCAAGGGGTCGTTGTTGGACTGATAATGAAGGACAAATACAAAAACCCAAAACGTAAGAGTTCAAGGTCATTCCTCACTTCTTTTTATGTATTATTTCTAATACAGAGTTAAGCGTGGTATTGTATATATAATATCGCAATAACAAAAAAAACGTCATTTTATATTTTTATTCTGTTTTTATAAATAAGAAATAATGGAACAATGTGAAAAGAAATCATGTATCTATAATTAGATTTTGAAAAAAAATACGCAGTCAGAAAAAGAAAGTACTTCGACTTTGGCAGAAGAGCGTGACTTTATTCTAAAATCAATATTGAAATATTCAGAATTTCCGATCATTCGCAGAACATCTCCATTGATATGGATAAATAAATGCATTTTTTTAATATCTAAAGCTGTCAACACATTTCTTTCGACAAAAAAATGGTTATGTGGGTCGACCAGTTTTCAGGACAGCATTAACATACAATTCAATAATAGTATCATTAACCAAAGTGCCTGAAATAGGACACACCCTGTGTACCATGTCAGGGATAGGCGTTCGGACGTTTTTGGTGACTTGGCTATGACAAATATTTCACATTTGCAAAATCAATCTATACCACTACCCCTCCTTTTGTTTCTATCAAGTTCATAACCCATATCAAGGGATTTTTATTCATTGCTTTCCGTTCTCTATTTTTAGGAAATGTACTTTTAAATCATAAGAAAGACGAAAAGAAGGAAGTACCTGAAGAGAGAAGCACACTTCAAAAGATAAAGGCTTTGTACACCAACAAATACTTCGTTCTTTATGGGCTGGTGTCCTTTAGTGTTGATATGGTCGTTCTGGTCCCCTTCTTTATGACCCCAATAATAGCAGCTGCTATTGGACTGTCACCCAGGCAACAAGCAATGATTATAACTGCGGCAGGGATAGCAAGTAAGTTTCTTCTGGTGCCTTCAAGGTTTCAACAATTTAGGGCATTTTTAGCATTAATGGCGAGTCCTAAAAGGGCGAGAAGCTGCAAGGTGCAGTTAATTCATTATCTATCTCTGCTCCATTCTCAATTTTTTTATTATGATATATGCATTGTGGAGATTTTGGTATGTGGGGTTTAAATATTTCTGCATCCAAGACATATTGTGCGATCTCACCTGTTAAACAAAATCTAGTGGCAAAAAAGACCGTTTGGCGATTAGAAAGGCCTTCATCGTTGCTCAGTACTAAATATGAGACATGTTGTTATGATAATTATATTAATTAACTTTTCAGGTATCTTCCTACGTCCGACAATAGGGCTGGCTGTAGATCGAATAAAGGCGCACTCAATTACTGTGATGGGGATATTCGCAATAATTTTGGGCGTATCCACTTTGGGACTGCTCTATTTACAAACCTATACTGCCTACATAGTATATGGCTGTATATTGGGGACCACACACGGTAGGGCTCAAACTTAAACATTAAATACTTATAGATTTTACACAGAACAACAATATATACTTTTCAGAAAAGATTGTAACGGATACAATAATCTTTGTGATAAGCTGACATTCGTTGCAATTTCATGCGATTTATGAAACTCGTCAAGTTAAATTGCCATGAAGTGGAAACTCCTGAAAGATCTTTCTATTTTTAAAGGGTCAGATACCGTTTTTGAAGATCGGTTCTAAAATTGTTAATGACATTGCTTAAAGTGAAATTTTTATTTCCAAAGTATAAACTACTGCAATATACTTGAACGTATTCCTTGAAGTTGTTTTTTTAAAGACAATACCTTACGATGGTTGTTTGACACCTTAGGGACCTACCTTCTTCTGAAACCGATAGTTTTGGTGGACATTGTTGGCAAAGAGTCATATGCTTTAGGACTAGGGTTTTACAGACTATTCGCGGGCACTGCAGTCCTCACTGGGCCCCCATTAGCAGGTAAACTTCAGAATAACTTTCTGCTCTTTAGAGCAATAATTTTGTCAAAAAGATAATCTAACAGACAAACAATGCTCCACAAAATTAAGGGGGATGAGATTAAGTAATGAAAATACATTTATCGGTCAGTAGAGAAAGAATATCCTGTTACAATATAACGATGATTCAATCTCGAATTGTTACCTGATCTCTTTAACCCCCTATTCGGGTATCTATATCTCAGTTTTTTTCCTTATTCCTTTATATATAGATATTTTAGAATTCTAATGCAATTTGTGTAGCAAATTTTCTTTTATTTCTAGTCGCAATACATTTCTTATATCATGTTCCATCCATACAGGCTGGATAATGGATATACGTGGACATTTTGACTGGCTGTGTTACTACGCTTTAGCAGTTTTTACATTTGGAGGTTGCTCTTTAATTATATTCAACATTTTCCTCAGAAGACGACATACTAAACCATATGAAGAAGATTACTGTGTTGTTTCTCAGGAGGACACGGTAGACAACCATATCAATACAGATATATCATTTACGACAGAAAAAACATCAAAGGTGTCCCTGAACACGGAAAAACAAGAGAGTACATCAATGTAAGATTAGGATACAGAGGCGCATGTGTAGGGATGCTGGCATCCACCTCTTCATATAGTGTATAGATGTTTTATACTTGATGTTTAGAAAACGATTTAAACCTTAAAAGAAATAACTTGTTCAATTTGTTCTTTTTCCTAAACTAAATACTAACGCATGAATAAGTACAAAAAAGCAATAAACATAAAAAAATCCACAACAGCTAAAACGAACAAAGTAATCATCTACACAGACAAGGAGGATAGCAAAAGAAGGCTAGATTTTTTTTCGTTTCACCAATGACATATGTATACGTTTAATCTTAATGATAATTCATATTCTCGAAATGTGGGTCGAGGTTGTAAGAACGAAATACCAAACATCAAACTTGTCTAACTTCAAGATTGCAGATGATAGAGATTGCGTGTGAACTTCTGTTCAAGCGGTTTACCGTAAACTGCAAACCACATTATAATTAATTCGAATAAAGGCACAAATCAGATGTGCTTTAAGTTCTTTAAAAACAATCCAATATCTAAAATTGTGGCATTTATTGATTTTTGACATTAGTACACCTCCCAATCAGGTTTTTGTCATTTTTTGGAACAATTAGGATTTCCCCCACGTCAACTCATTGGTTTCAACGATTTAGTCGTTTAGAATCACAGACGATTCCAAGAAGGACGAACTAACGGTTCAAGATCGAAATCTTATATTAAGGACGCATTAGAACGCTCCTTTCATAATGGGATTTGTAAACCTTCCCATATTGTTTTAGTCATTGTTTACTTTCAAATAATTTTGACCACCTTACATCTTTAAAACGTCGTAAATTTCCATCCTTTAGACCCTAACATCATTAAAGCGTCGTAAGTTTCCATCCTTTTGACCCTAACATCATTAAAACGTCGTAAATTTCTATCCTTTAGACCCTTACATCATTAAAGCGTCGTAAGATTCCACCCTTTTGATCCTTACATAATTAAATCCACGTAGGTTTCCATTCTTTTCATCCTAACATCATTAAAGCGTCGTAAGTTTCCATCCTTTTGACCCTAACATCATTAAAACGTCGTAAATTTCAATCCTTTAGACCCTTACATCATTAAAGCGTCGTAAGTTTCCACCCTTTTGATCCTTACATCATTAAAGCGATGTAAGTTTCCATCCTTTTGACCCCAACATCATTAAAGCGTTGGGAATTTAAGCCAAGATCTTGTTTTATGGAAAAACCGAATCCATAACAGCTTCATGCACCTTAAGACTCAATAGTTACTGTCCTTACACGTTTTTGGGCTATGTACATAGACTTTTGATCATTATGGATGTACCTAATGAAAAACCAGATACAAAATGTTAACAAGTTTATTTTCAGCAATACTAAAGCCCTGCTATTTATCTTTCTTAAAAAGATTTCTTGTAAATTATTACCCTCTAATGTATATACAGCTAATACCATTTAGCTCTGGTATGTCTAAAATTATAGATTTTAAAAAGATATCCCAGTGGGATCCTGGTGCCCACCATTGTATGATCTTCACTGGCTCTTTATCAGCTGGATCATTACCCATCTTTCCTCTTCTATCCGGTCTAACAAGAGATCAATAGGGCCTATATCGATTCCATTGACACCAAGAATGCCAAATATTTTTTTCTATAATCCAATACTTCTCAAGAAAGAAGTGATAACAAACTTCAAACTTCTGAAATTCAATTCGACTGCCATTTCTTCCTCTCTTTTCTGATCAGTTTGAAAAAGATTAACGAGCACAACTAGGGACAAAGGAGAGTCTATATATTAATTCTGGGCAAGATTAAAATGATGTTGGTGGCTAATAATCTAAAAATTAAAGATAGTGGCTTTCCTGAGCGATCTTGGCACTCATCCTTGTATTTCATTGGTTTTATACAGGTTGGATCTTTCCCCTCTTTCTTGCCTCATTTGTTGGTCACTTATGATACTTTCCATCCATTAAGAACATCTGATTCTACCATACCTCAGTGTTGAGATGATTCTTGAAATCCGAGTCAATATGACCCAATCAGCCAGGATCACAATGGGCATACTATCAAGCTGTCATCCTATACTTATAATTCTAGCCAACTTTCAAATATTTCCAATGAAAATTATGCTCAAAAATCAACTTTTCCTATGTAAACTATAGTAAAATTTGCCTCTCCCAACGGGGGAAATGTCGAGACCCTGGGGCCATGAAATTCACAATTTTGGTAAAGTACCTAGCATTCTACCATATCTGGGTGTTGAGATGATCTTTGAAAGTTTAATCAATTCAACCCTTTTGGCAATGCCCTCCAGGTCCCTGTAGGATGGGGACTGTACAATTCACTATTTTGGTTCATATTAGGTCAGGTAAGGTTTCTGTAAAATTTGATTGAAATCAGTTCAGGAGTTTTTGAGAAGTCAAAAATGTTAAAAAGTTTATGGCCCAACAAAGGTGATCACAATAGGTCACCATGAGGCTTTGTCTCAGATGACCTCAAAATAGCAGGAAAAAGAATTATTAAAGGACAGGTGGCTTGACAACAGACCATGGATGGTAAGCAATCATGTAATGATGGTGGGCTAAAAATAAAGAGCAATGCTCATTATCTGTTTCTATTTTATATCGAACCAAATTTTATCCCAGACAGATAAATGACAGACACAATAAAATCAGTATTTCATTCAGTTTTTTTTTTATTATTATGAGCACAATAGGAAATGTAAGTTACTTAATGGCTCCAGTTTAAAAAAAAAAAAAGGCAAATTCCTCTGAACATACTGGATGATAAAGATATATATATTTATATATTTACAATACAAAATCTTCAGAAACTCTACAATATTCTATTCACCAGGACAAAAAAAATCTGGAATTTCTTTGACTAATGTTCAATGAATTTGTACACATGCACATCTACTACAAATTATCATAATAATATAGTCAACACAGGTAAGTCAAAAAGGATACAATGATCATAATATTAATAATGAAAAACATTTTTTTTTGTGAGCACACATTTAAATAAATCAAATTAAGGTGATACACAAAACTAAACCTTGACGTGACCCTTTGATACCTTTCCTAGTTCCTTTTTGATATTTCAACTGTCTAGTTCAGCGAAGCTGATGGACCCTGTCCAAATTCATATATCATATATACATATTTTCATTAAGCTATTAAACATAATGCTTTCAATGGGTTATTTACATCTGAATAAAACATGATTTGGAAAAATATGAAATGGATAAAGAAGGAAAATAGACTTAATAACCTGGACCTACTTAAACGTGATCCTTTATATCGAACGACTTTGGTTAGGGTCCACCAGGTTCACTACGAACTTGTAATGCATCACCTTTAGGTGAGCCTTCTGTTATCGCTTGGTAAGGCACCATCTTTGACTTATAGTTTCAACTTAAATCCCTTTTAAGGAATCTATAGCGAGGAATTTATGTTACGAAATTCCTATTAACATTGTATCCGTTTCCAAAGGGAAACCATTTTTTCCGTTTTTTTTTTTTTTTTTTTAAACACTTTATAAGAGTGATTGATCTTAAAGACAAGCCCCACCATATATTTATATGTATTAATAACACATTATACAACCCCTAGGAGAGAAGCGTTAGATGATTGCCTTGCACATTCTTAAGGCTTGGCTCAGAATGATTTAGAGAGACATAGGTTAATCTACAACGCTGACACAAACACACACACATCTCAAAAGCCATGTACAACCGCAGAACAGCATTTCATAAACTGGGATTCTAGTATCAATGTTTAAAATATACCAACACTAGAAAGATACACAAGATTCAAAACTTCTCGCTACAAACAAACACAAGATTTGGTAACCATCATTAATCATTATCACCAGCAGTGGTGGCCTCCCTATTCCATTGTGACAGCAGTCTGCCTGTTATAACTGGAAACTCAGGATCCTGCTTCCAGCAGCTGTCTAGTAGTTCCAGTTTGTATTCCCGTATGCCTTGGCACCTCCAGCCTTTGCCTGGGTGCTGTTTTGTTGGCTATGTACATGGGAGCCTCGTGTTGACCCAGTTGTGGAATCCTGCTGAAATATTGAAAAAAGATGTTCAGTGACAAATTCTCTGAAGACACAAAACATTCCATTGCTGGACAGTCTACCATATAAACAAGTTCAAATTACATACAGCTCTGAAATCCACCTGATATGATTGATATATAAATGCACCATATTCAGCGGTCACAGAAACCACCAAATGGATTGGTTTTCATCCTAGAAACAGGTGCTTATACTGCAAATTTTCTGTGGTTTTCCTATATAGAGCATTTGAATGAGAGTATAAAATTTTATAAACCTGCATTTTTACATGCAAATTGAAAATCTCGCTGCAACACTGACATAAACAAAGATTTTTTTATCAAAAACAACTGAACTACTTGTGGTCATAATTTATAATAGATGGACACAGTAATACAATATACTCTCCACTTTTTGAAAAGCCTCCTGATCACACATATAAGTATTACCGTTATGTATTCAATTGGAAGAGTTTATCAGCTGATCTCAGAAATAGTTTGGTGAAATCAATGTTCATCATACGAACGAGACTATTTATTTCATCATTGTATCAGCAAATCTACAACTCTTTGCTTCTCTACAGACAATGAAGAACATAATTGATCAGTACACATGTAATTGCCTACAAGCTGATAACTGCTTACCTCTAAAGCTTCTAAAACATATGTTTACTACATATTAAGCAACCATCCTTAGAACAGCTATTCAAAATCTTATTCTTTTCTAGATATGAAAACAACTTCAATGAAATCAAAAAGAGTATGGCATCCTTTCCCTACTTCAAGAACTGTATTGTAAAATCTGACATGGATCACAAAACATTGCTAGACTTAACAAATCTTTTAGATGCTTTTTTAAAATCATATTTATTTCAAAACATCAAATTTTGCACCCAATGATCAATGGCATGCAGTCCCAGAATGAGTCAGGCACATTAAAACATACATCTACAGAGGCATCCTCCAAGACCACAGAGATATCTTTATCATAAAACCTGAAATTTCCATAGAGGAAACTACTCTGTACACTATGTTTGTTATATCTGGATTTTATCTAATTGATTTGGTATTGGATACTTTTTCTAACAATTCATCAAAGAACAGTCCCCACCAAGTGTCAAATTATATGCAAAATAAACGACTTCCATTAAGTGATTTTGATACACAAACATACTGCCCAACCAAAGTGAAGCCATATCTATTCCAATTTTATTTATCCTGAAAAAGTCAAACCCTTCAAAATGGAGGAAAGAGTTGGTGCAGAAACCATAATGCAATTGTAGAGAAGTTATGCGTGTGTTCTGACCACCACCAGGTTATATTGTAGAGAAGTTGTGTGTGTTTTGACTACCACCAGGTTATATTGTAGGGAAGTTGTGTGTGTTCTGACCACCACCAGGTAATATTGTAGAGAAGTTGTGTGTGTTCCGACTACCACCAGGTTATATTGTAGAGAAATTGTGTGTGTTCCGACCACCAGGTTAAATTGTAGAGAAGTTGTGTGTGTTCCGACCACCACCAGGTTATATTGTAGAAAAGTTGTGCGTGTTCCGACCACCACCAGGTTATATTGTAGAGAAGTTGTGAGTGTTCCGACCACCACCAGGTTATATTGTAGAGAAGTTGTGCGTGTTCCGACTACCACCAGGTTATATTGTAGAGAAGTTGTGCGTGTTCCGACTACCACCAGGTTATATTGTAGAGAAGTTGTGCATGTTCCGACTACCACCAGGTTATATTGTAGAGAAGTTTTGCGTGTTCTGACTACCACCAGGTTATATTGTAGAGAAGTTGTCTGTGTTCTGACTACCACCTGGTTATATAACAAGGTAGTAAGAGTCGTACATGTTGATATAGCATCACTTGATATGACCGCCAGTCTACTGTAGTCACAGTACGGATGCTTCTTTGTCACATTCTTAAAAGTACTTAAATATCCAAACAATGTGCAATCTTTTATCTCTGTAAAATACCTGGGCGACATTGACTTTAATCACTGATCATATAATCTGTGAATTAATTCTTGTTCTAGTTCCAAAGAAAATCTTCCAAATCCTCAGATATAATAATTTATTTGTGTTTAAGTGAAAACTGTTGAACTCCCATCAGGAAAATGCCCTCCTTTCTGACTGACCTGTTGTGGAGCATATAGTTATATGGGAGTTAAATTGGTTCATTCATAAATGGGGCAGCACCTTTGGGAGTCTGTGTGATTACAAAGACATATATTGCTAAATGGTAAAACTATTCCTTTATTGGTTACAAGTTATACTGGCTGATCTCAGAAATAGTTTGGTGAAATCAATGTTCATCATACGAACGAGACTATTTATTTCATCATTGTATCAGCAAACACACAACACTTCTCTACTGGTGGTTGATAAAAGCACAATTGTCTGCCTACAAGATGATGACTTTGATTCATGTGTCCACAAAAAATTGTTTCCTTTATATCTAGAGTAACTTTCTTTCAGAGCAGTTGTAAATATATCAAATTAGAAAAAAACCCCATTTTCCTTAAGAACTGCATCATCGATATATAGCCTCAGAGAACATGAAATATTGTGAGTCTATGATTAACTTGTAAAGTCCATACAGGAAGAATTGCTCTTCATCAATGGTGGTTATGACCTTGGACAATCCAATCATGACCAGCAAGGTTAAAGAAACTTTATTACTGTCTGTCTCCTGACTACCTTCAGATTACATAACCAGGAAGTAAAGAGTCCTACATGTTGGTATGGCATTGCCTGATATGACTGCCAGTCTACTGTAGTCACATTATGGATGCTTCTCTCAAACAATATTCAATATCCAATATGCAAATCTTTTAACTCTGTAGGGTACATGTCTAAATACAGCACACTAGTTCCAAAAACGCTGCTTCAAAGTCCTGAGACTCCAGACACAATTTTGTGTAACAGTAATTTACATATTAAAGAAATAATAGTGACCCTTTACAGTGAAAATCATAAAAACTCCTGTCAGGAAAATATCCCAATTTCAACTGACTTGCTGCATGTATAGATCAGCATAGAGAGTCTATTTTAACTGTATATGATCAGTAGGAAATCAGATGTCTTATTTTTGATAGGTGAATAAACAGTACAAATGTTCATGGTAAGAAGGTGTCTTGCTTATAATCTAAATGAGCTGATCTCAGAAATAGCTTGGTGAAATCAATGTTCATCATACGAACGAGACTATTTATTTCATCATTGTATCAGCAAATCTACAACTCTTTGCTTCTCTACAGACAATGAAGAACATAATTGATCAGTACACATGTAATTGCCTACAAGCTGATAACTGCTTACCTCTAAAGCTTCTAAAACGTATGTTTACTACATATTAAGCAACCATCCTTAGAACAGCTATTCAAAATCTTATTCTTTTCTAGATATGAAAACAACTTCAATGTAATAAAAAAAAATATAGCATTCTTTCCCTACTTCAAGAACTGTATTGTAAAATCTGACATGGATCACAAAACATTGCTAGACTTAACAAATCTTTTAGATGCTTTTTTAAAATCATATTTATTTCAAAACATCAAATTTTGCACCCAATGATCAATGGCATGCAGTCCCAGAATGAGTCAGGCACATTAAAACATACATCTACAGAGGCATCCTCCAAGACCACAGAGATATCTTTATCATAAAACCTGAAATTTCCATAGAGGAAACTACTCTGTACACTATGTTTGTTATATTTGGATTTTATCTAATTGATTTGGTATTGGATACTTTTTCTAACAATTCATCAAAGAACAGTCCCCACCAAGTGTCAAATTATATGCAAAATAAACGACTTCCATTAAGTGATTTTGATACACAACACACTGCCAAACCAAAGTGAAGCCATACCTATTCCAATTTTATCTATCCTCAAAAAAGTTGAACCCTTCAAATTGGATGAAAGAGAGTTGGTGCAGAAACCATAATGCAATTGTAGAGAAGTTGTCTGTGTTCTGGAACCACCTGGTTATATTGTAGAGAAGTTGTGTGTCCCGACTACCACCAGGTTATATTGTAGAGAAGTTGTCTGTGTTCTGACTACCACCTGGTTATATAACAAGGTAGTAAGAGTCGTACATGTTGATATAGCATCACTTGATATGACCGCCAGTCTACTGTAGTCACAGTACGGATGCTTCTTTGTCACATTCTTAAAAGTACTTAAATATCCAAACAATGTGCAATCTTTTATCTCTGTAAAATACCTGGGCGACATTGACTTTAATCACAGATCAAATAATCTGTGAATTAATTCTTGTTCTAGTTCCAAAGAAAATCTTCCAAATCCTCAGATATAATAATTTATTTGTGTTTAAGTGAAAACTGTTGAACTCCCATCAGGAAAATGCCCTCCTTTCTGACTGACCTGTTGTGGAGCATATAGTTATATGGGAGTTAAATTGGTTCATTCATAAATGGGGCAGCACCTTTGGGAGTCTGTGTGATTACAAAGACATATATTGCTAAATGGTAAAACCATTCCTTTATTGGTTACAAGTTAAACAGGCTGATCTCAGAAATAGCTTGGTGAAATCAATGTTCATCATACGAACGAGACTATTTATTTCATCATTGTATCAGCAAACACACAACACTTCTCTACTGGTGGTTGATAAAAGCACAATTGAAGATGATGACTTTGATTCATGTGTCCACAAAAAATTGTTTCCTTTATATCTACAGTAACTTTCTTTCAGAGCAGTTGTAAATATATCAAATTAGAAAAAAAAACATTTTCCTTAAGAACTGCATCATCGATATATAGCCTCAGAGAACATGAAATATTGTGAGTCTATGATTAACTTGTAAAGTCCATACAGGAAGAATTGCTCTTCATCAATGGTGGTTATGACCTTGGACAATCCAATCATGACCAGCAAGGTTAAAGAAACTTTAACTTCTGACTACCTTCAGATTACATAACCAGGAAGTAAAGAGTCCTACATGTTGGTATGGCATTGCCTGATATGACTGCCAGTCTAGTGTAGTCACATTATGGATGCTTCTCTCAAACAATATTCAATATCCAACATGCAAATCTTTTAACTCTGTAGGGTACATGTCAACAGCACACTAGTTCCAAAAACTTCAAAGTTTTAGACTCCAGACACAATTTTGTGTAACAGTAATTTACATATTAAAGAAATAATAGTGACCCTTTACAGTGAAAATCATAAGAACGCCTGTCAGCAAAATATCCCAATTTCAACTGACTTGCTGCATGTATAGATCAGCATCATAGAGAGTCTATTTAACTGTATATGATCAGTAGGACGTCGGATGTTTCATTTTTGATAGGTGAATAAACAGTACAAATGTTCATGATAAGAAGGTGTCTTGCTTATAATATAAATGGGCTGAACTCAGAAATAGTTTGGTGAAATCAATGTTCATCATACGAACGAGACTATTTATTTCATCATTGTATCAGCAAATCTACAACTCTTTGCTTCTCTATCAATGAAGAACATAATTGATATACACATGTAATTGCCTACAAGCTGATAACTGCTTACCTCTAAAGCTTCTAAAACATTTGTTTATTACATATTAAGCAACCATCCTTAGAACAGCTATTCAAAATTATATGCAAAATGAAAACAACTTCAATGAAATCAAAAAGAGTATGGCATCCTTTCCCTCCTTCAAGAACTGTATTGTAAAATCTGACATGGATCACAAAACATTGCTAGACTTAACAAATCTTTTAGATGCTTTTTTAAAATCATATTTATTTCAAAAAATTTTGCACCCAATGATCAATGGCATGCAAAGAGAGTCAGGCACATTAAAACATACATCTACAATCCTCCAAGACCACAGAGATATCTTTGTGTGTGTTCCATAGAGGAAACTACTCTGTACACTATGTTTGTTATATTTGGATTTTATCTAATTGATTTGGTATTGGATACTTTTTCTAACAATTCATCAAAGAACAGTCCCCACCAAGTGTCAAATTATATGCAAAATAAACGACTTCCATTAAGTGATTTTGATACACAACACACTGCCAAACCAAAGTGAAGCCATACCTATTCCAATTTTATCTATCCTCAAAAAAGTTGAACCCTTCAAATTGGATGAAAGAGAGTTGGTGCAGAAACCATAATACAATTGTAGAGAAGTTGTGTGTGTTCTGACTACCACCTGGTTATATTGTAGAGAAGTTGTCTGTGTTCTGACTACCACCAGGTTATATAACAAGGTAGTAAGAGTCGTACATGTTGATATAGCATCACTTGATATGACCGCCAGTCTACTGTAGTCACAGTACGGATGCTTCTTTGCCACATTCTTAAAAGTACTTAAATATCCAAACAATGTGCAAATCCTTTATCTCTGTAAAATACCTGGGCGACATTGACTTTAATCACAGATCAAATAATCTGTGAATTAATTCTTGTTCTAGTTCCAAAGAAAATCTTCCAAATCCTCAGATATAATAATTTATTTGTGTTTAAGTGAAAACTGTTGAACTCCCATCAGGAAAATGCCCTCCTTTCTGACTGACCTGTTGTGGAACATATAGTTATATGGGGGTTAAATTGGTTCATTCATAAATGGGGCAGCACCTTTGGGAGTCTGCGTGATTACGAAGACATATATTGCTAAATGGTAAAACTATTCCTTTATTGGTTACAAGTTAAACAGGCTGATCTCAGAAATAGCTTGGTGAAATCAATGTTCATCATACGAACGAGACTATTTATTTCATCACTGTATCAGCAAACAAAGACTACCGCTAACCCATTCTAAATACTATCCCATTGCAAGCGAAAATCTCTGCATAATTGTCAGAAAAATCCCCCTTTTCCAACTGACCTGCTGCATGTTAGGATGGAGCATCTGGTTATGTGGGGGCATCATTGGTACATTCATGAATGGGGCAGCACCATAGGGAGTTGTGGGGGCCCCTAGTGGTCCAGCCTGTGTTCCTGTCGCCAGGGGCAGATTGAATGGGGGTGGTGTTCCTGCATGGAATCCTTGTTTGTCAAATGCCTGAAATGACAAAAGAAGAACATGAAATCTACTATACACTGTGATAACTTGAATTTTTTATAATCAAATTTATAAAAGGTTTAAGACATCATTGTACCCTGCGTATACAACAAAGTGTTTTAAATATGTATATATTTCTGTATGATGTACTTGTGAAATAAAAACATGGTGATGAGAGAGGCATAGTTGATATCAATACTTAAAAACTTAATAAAACAGAAAGAAATTATGGATTTGTAAAGCTCACAAAGTACATTCAGGCATTGCACTCAAGTAAAATACTGAACTCACAATTAGAAACTTCAAGTTCAAATATCGCTTTTCAAAATCATAACTACAAAATGTGATTTAAGAGTTCCTAATGCTAGTCTTGCTTGTAGAGTCTATGTGAGATGTTTTACAAATCACTAACTGGTGCTGATATGTGCATTTCTGTGTGATAGTCACATTTGTCACCAAGTGTCTAAACATTTTCTACCAAGCAAATATGCTAGTGCAGTCCTATCTGGTGTTGGGAGGGGAAACCCTTAACACAAAATAGTGCTCTTTATTAATCCAAGATGACAGTTTTCAACTACCATCTATTGAATGCTTCATTTATTTTCAGTATTCATAGACTTAAATCAATAACTTAGTAAGTATACATTAAAAAAAAAAATGAAATAAAAATAAAAAAAAGCTGTACATATATAATTCCTCAATAAACAAAACACTATTGAGAAAGAAAGAGCAAATTCCCATATGAATGCACAACATTGGAATTTTATCAAATTTGCTTCCAGTCTTCAAAAATATTTATCAGATATTAAGAGCTAAATAGGTTATGAACTTTCAAGTTATAATTATTAATTTTTCATTGTTTGTACACTAAATGCAGCTTTCTGAGTCATCTTTTATTTTTCCCCCCATTTCTTGATGAAGAAAAAAAAAAAAAAAAAAATAAAACATCTAGCTCCTACCATTTGATAATGATTAGAGAGTCAATGGCAACATGCCACCTTTCTGGAACTTCTTTTTTGTATGAATGGAATATCTGTTTACATTCAATGATGTAAAAAATAAATGGACTTCAACATCATAATGTTCAAATATCTCACAACGTATATAAACAATAAACAATGAATAAATAAGGGGAGAAATATTTTTTTTTTTACACATTTTGGTTTGGAATGTGATGGGCCCACTCATTATTGAATTTTGAAATAAAGAAAATGATGGGAATTAGCTGTCAATGATGTCACGTCATGTCTAGCCTGCTATTGCATATTTGTTATAAAATAATCTGTCATTCAATTATCAAATATATACATTTATATGTTATTACTATGCTTGAAATCTATTATGAAATTAGCATTCATTCAATTTGCAAAAAGGTTTTTCTTTCATACCAGAATGAAAATAAAAAATATTACTATCAAAGCTTAAATAATTTAATTCATAATAAGCAATCTTTTTAGTGTAACAGTGACCTGGAACTCAAAATCACAGTGATCATGACTTAATTACACTTATTGGCACATTGCTAGTCAGTAAACATTGTTTTAAATATAAAGTTTCATGTCTTTGACACAACCATTCAAAATGCATAGTCTGGAACATACAACAACTTTCTGAATCATGAAATGTTTATATTTCCAGTTGCTTTAAACATTCTGAATGTCTAAAACATTACTGTAAAGCCTGGGTAAGGTACTAAATTTGATCTTTCGATCACCGAAAGGTCAAATCATTGATGTATTACTCCAATTTAAAACCTTAATAAGTGTTGAACTCAGAAATTAAAACATAGGTAATCACAGGGTTCATCCAAATTAGACTGTCATGTTTTTCTTCATCATTGTTCAAACACTTGATATGTATATCTGCTCCGAAAATACTAATAATTTGATTTTACTTGTGACAAAGTTTTTTGATCTGTGATGTGTTCTGTCCTGATTCAAATTTAACACGGTTAATAAATATGATAGGTCACAATTTTACGTGACAATATCAGAACCTTACAAATAGTTTTGAGAAAGAATATACCAACCATATCCCACTGCATGTATTTAAGTATATCTAAAGGTCACATTTAACCTTGATCTTTAACTTTCTTTCTAATAGGGACACATTTGCCACCTGTTGCAAGCTGTTGAAGGATAAAAACAAAGCACAGAACCAACACTCTAAGCTTAACAGTGATTCAACTTTCTAAATTAATATGTTCTCTAAATTTGGATAAAGTAACGAGTGCTGACCTCAGAAAAAAAAGAAGTATGAAATCAGGAAATAATCATACGAACGAGACATATATTTCATCATTGTACCAGCACTATTCATCGATCAAATCTTTACTATCTTGTAACTATAATATCACTGTAAAGGGAAACAATCAAACATACACAAGGGTAAACAACCGACAAAAAGGTGTAAAAAAAATCCAATTTCTTTGGTGAAGTTTTGGTCCAAAAACTAAGTTTAACTCAAGACTACTTTTCTAATCCTAAAATGTTTAACACTATGGCACAGTAGTTTTCTATCACATACAGTTCCTAGTTAGCCTATAGGCCAATAATGTTTTTATTTCAGTAATCATTGCTATCATCTAAATTAGACATCATCGATTCAACACCACCATTTATCCTTCTAATGTGTACATTACAAGTTTTTGTTGAAAATCAGGATATCATTTGGTTGCTTGAATTACAACTTATTACAAAATCATTTAGGGATTATATTCTAAATGAAACAAAGATTATTCTAACAAGAGGCCCATGGGCCTTAACGGTCATCTGACAAAAAGCAAGCCAAACCTAGAAAGTGGTTGAGGTCATTCATTTGAACAAACTTGGAAGCCTCTCCTCCAAGCATCTTACAGGCCCAATATCAGCACTCATGGACTTTTGCTTGTTGAGAAGAAGTCGTTTGTATATTTTAACATATTTGACCCCTGTGACCTTGAAAGTGGGTTGAGGTCATTCATTTGAATAAACTTGGTAGCCTTTCCTCCCAGCATGCTACAGACCCAATATCGGCACTCATAGACTTTTGCTTATTGAGATGAAGTCCTTTGTATATTTTAACATATTTGACCCCTGTGACCTTGAAAGTGGGCCAAGGTCATTCATTTGAACAAACTTTGTAGGGCTCCATGCCAGCATGCTATGGGCCAAGTATTAGCCCCCTAGGCCTTCTAGTATTTGAGAAGAAGTTATTTAAAGATTTTGACATATTTGACCCCTGCGACCTTGAAAGTTGCTCAAGGTCATTCATTTAAATAAGCTTGGTAGCCTTTCCTCCCAGCATGCTACAGACCCAATATCGGCACTCATAGACTTTTGCTTATTGAGATGAAGTCCTTTGTATATTTTAACATATTTGACCCCTGTGACCTTGAAAGTGGGCCAAGGTCATTCATTTGAACAAACTTTGTAGGGCTCCATGCCAGCATGCTATGGGCCAAGTATTAGCCCCCTAGGCCTTCTAGTATTTGAGAAGAAGTTATTTAAAGATTTTGACATATTTGACCCCTGTGACCTTGAAAGTTGTTCAAGGTCATTCATTTAAACAAACTTGATAGCCCTTCATCCCAGCATGCCACAGGCACAATATCAGCAATCTGAGCCTTTTGGTTATTGAGAAGAAGTTGTTTAAAGATTTTAACATATTTGACCCCTGTGACCTTTAAAGTGGGCCAAGGTCATTCATTTGAACAAACTTTGTAGGGCTCCATGCCAGCATGCTATGGGCCAAGTATTAGCCCCCTAGGCATTCTAGTATTTGAGAAGAAGTTATTTAAAGATTTTGACATATTTGACCCCTGCGACCTTGAAAGTTGTTCAAGGTCATTCATTTAAATAAGCTTGGTAGCCTTTCCTCCCAGCATGCTACAGACCCAATATCGGCACTCATAGACTTTTGCTTATTGAGATGAAGTCCTTTGTATATTTTAACATATTTGACCCCTGTGACCTTGAAAGTGGGCCAAGGTCATTCATTTGAACAAACTTTGTAGGGCTCCATGCCAGCATGCTATGGGCCAAGTATTAGCCCCCTAGGCATTCTAGTATTTGAGAAGAAGTTATTTAAATATTTTGACATATTTGACCCCTGTGACCTTGAAAGTTGTTCAAGGTCATTCATTTAAACAAACTTGATAGCCCTTCATCCCAGCATGCCACAGGCACAATATCAGCAATCTGAGCCTTTTGGTTATTGAGAAGAAGTTGTTTAAAGATTTTAACATATTTGACCCCTGTGACCTTTAAAGTGGGTCAAGGTCATTCATTTGAACAAACTTGGTAGTCCTTCATCCCAGCATGTCACAGGCCCAATATCTACACTCTGAGCCTTTTGGTTAATGAGAAGAAGTTGTTTAAAGATTTTAACATATTTGACCCCTGTGACCTTTAAAGTGGGTCAAGGTCATTCATTTGAACAAACTTGGTAGAGCTCCATGCCAGTATCCTCTGTGCCAAGTATTAGCCCCCTAGACCTTCTAGTATTTGAGAAGAAGTCGTTTGAATGAAAAGTTTACGGACGGCGCACGGCGGACGGCGCACGGCGGACGGCGCACGACGACGGACGAAGCATGATGACTATAGGTCATCGGACCCTTTGGGTCAGATGACCTAAAAAGTAAAACAAGACAAAACCTTGTTACCATAAAAAGATTATATGGCTGAACTCAGAAATTGTTGTCATTTCATGTTTAATCATTTTAACGAGATTCAATGTTTTCTTCATCACTGTCTCAGCAGCTTAATCCAAACATCAAGATGATTTACCAATTACTCCCAATCAAATGAAGGGTCATCTCTTATCAACAGCTAATATCCAAACCGTGATTATTTATTGAACTCCTTACCCTACTAACACCAAGGCATTCAGCAAACAAAACATTCTAAACCTCGAACCTCTTGGATAAGTTTGATCTTTATTCTCAATGCCAATGTTTAAAGCTAAGGTGTTGACTTCAGAAATTAAAACAAAGTAATCACAGATATCATCCAAAATTGACT